CCTTAAAACAAACTTATGGCATATCAGATATTTCTGTCATTAAATTAGCTGTCGTGGCAGCTGGAGACCGAAACGACCGCTAATTGTGACTTATACGAGTGTTTCGTACTCTACCGATGAGTTTCGATTTGATCAAGGGCACCTTGAAAACGGAGATATGAAAGTGACCACGTGAAAACAAGGCTATCCTTTCCAGCATCACCCACATCTGATAATACGCTGTCTGCGGCACATTCTGAAGGTGCAGTAGTTTTATCTAATGAAGAGATTCTGGAGATGACTGACCTGAGAATGCTGCTCAGACTACAGCATAAGAATTTGACTTGTGCCGCAGCAAACAAAATCGCCTAAATCATTCGGAAAACCTATGAACTGGTATATGAACGTTAGACATTACTAACACAGGTTACAGATCCTTGCTCTTTATGACTCAGATGTCAATGACACATCAATAAGCTCTGATAAAATTTTGAAGAATGGGAAAGATTATTTACGTCAAATATATTTCAACAAATTCTGTCATACAAAGTTCAGACTCAAGCAAAAGGGAGGTTAATTCTTCTCTGCTATTTATGGTGTTTTTCTGGGCATTCCAACTCGTACAAAAGAGTGAATTTGGCACTGCGCCAAAAATGAGCAAAACCTACGGAAAGTCTTTCGCATTTGAGGATGATATCGTGGCGTTTGTAGGCAACTTTGAATTTGCAACATCAGTCTTTTTAACTCTGAGACAGAGGTGTTCTGATCTGAGTTCTCGATTAACGTAAAGAAGACAAAGAGGATAAAAATTGGTAAAATCCAAACCGATGTCTGTCTAGCCCTGTACACTGCATTTGTGTAGCAGGCACCAGAATGGGAATACATTGCTTGCAGGCTGGTGAGCAACATGCGAAGTTGAGAGACTCTGCGGGTTTGCCTTCTCAGCCAGCAAGAAGTTAAGCAAGCTCTGAAGAGGAAGAGATATTGTGTATAGCAAAATGCTGCGGCGGATGTTAAGGGCTTGCATTGTGAACATCTTCCTCTGTGGCCTCAGACGGCAGCACTTGACCAAGCTGAAAACAAAAAACTGATGACGACGAAAATGCGGATTTTAAGATCAATATTAGGACTAAAGTGATACGATCTGCTGTCAAATGCATTTGTAAGAGATAGATTAGAATATCTAATTAAAGTGATCCACTGGCTGCAAACAAAGTGTCTATAAAATGGTGGGGCAATTGTCAATACCTGGACGATAGCAGCATTGCGTAGCGAGTATTGAACGCAAAGCCTGCCGGATGGCAGGCGGCCGTCAAGAAGACCACCAGCAAGATGGGAAGATCTTGTATGACGCACGACATCGTTTGTTATGCAATGGGATAGGGAAAAGAAAAGGGATTCGTTCAATTATTTTCAAAGACCACTCTTCCGTTCGGTCGCGGAGTAGCTTCTTCAGGAGACCTTTCCAACACCTCGAGCTGCTGCCAAACAGACCAGCTCCATGTTTGAATTCCAAGGCACTGAATGCCAAGTTTACTGTATAATGAAGCCATATGGTTCGTCTGTCTGTTTTCTTGCGTCTTTTCCAGAACACGGTTTCAGGAAATCTGTCCTGTTCCAGGGAAATATCTAAGAATCGATTATTGATGTCTATCCTGCCAAGCGTTTCAGTGATCTGCATGAGGCATTGCTGTCATCCTCACAAGCAGATCTGCAGCTACTTGTACTTCCCGCAGTTTGAACTGACTTCCAGCACATTCTCGAAGAGAGAGACTTTGTAATATGGCTCTAAGAGCTGATACTTCGCCTCCTCTAGTAACATCGTAGAAATATAACTTTTGCTGTCCATAATGAAGTACAATTTGTGAGAGCGATGCTCTCTGCCGTTCCTGATATCAAACCTTGTTGGCTGAAGGTTTCGGCAGCGAAACAGGTTTTTACGCATGCCACCCAGCATGAAAATATAAACTTGTAAAAACAACGCTGTATTGATATCGTATTCCACTCTCAGACCTCCATGTAAGAGCTATTAATTTCAACTGCCGATTGCTGGTTGAACGAAGAGTAGTGCATGCTTCTGAGCAGTTGGTGCTACGGTTTCCATAAAGGCTTATTATGAAGTTTAAAGAGGGTTCTGAAAACCAAACTAGAAAGAGCTTTTATTGCCTTTAGAGCGGGTCTGTTTCAGCCAAGGAAAAGACAGAAACTCGCTCTGTGAGTAGAGGCATCATCGGTATTGATTACCTAGGAAAGAGCATGCAAATATCGTCTGTCGTGCCATTTATGTTGTGAATTCAAGATAACAACTGACAGGATAGATAGAAGATCTAGATGAAAGGTGCTTCACGGTTGATATGAAAAAAAATGGACGAAATAACGCTGGTTGCCACTTGATAACTGTCAGCTGGAAAATTCTGCTTAATCGCCATCAGAAGTTGCACATCCTGTCTTCTTCCCTCTGAACAAATGATGACAATAGTCTACCTCGGTCAGTAACACAATGTCACTGGTTAATTAGTTATTTAATTACGATTTATTTAGTGTTATTTCTTTAACTTTTCAAACTATGTTGCCTGATTTGAACGCTGTTGCACGTCGTTAACACCTTCCGG